ATGACGGGAGGAACATGCTGATTATGACGATTATTGTTTTTTCCTCTGGTTCTCTCCTTGGCAAAGTTATTATCAAACTTTTTCAAACCACTAGTTGTGCCACTGTCTTCAGATAAACATTCCTTTCAGACATCCTCTTCTAGAAGCACTCCCGCATTCACTTCTTATGGGAAATTATTGGGTGTATTGACTATCATCTTCTCATGAAAGAATGATTTCAGAGTTTCTGTGAAGACTTTTTCCATCTCTTCTTCCTTCCTAGAAGGATTGACTTGTGCAGCGACCAAAGTTTTAACCAAAGCGGTTAGATATTCCATATCAGCTTTCAAAGTAGTTACTTCTTTGCGGAGATCAAAGATCTCTTGCTTAATGTTTTCCATCTTCTCTTAGTATGAGTGTTGTATTGATGAGACGACTTGATTCTGAAGACCAGAGGACCTCGGATAAGACTTTTGGATAACCCATGAAATGCATTGTTAAGTGTAAAATGATGCATGACATGCGATACAAATGACATGTTCTTATTTCCAAAAGTCTATACACTTTGATTCCAATTATTAAGCCACAATATTATTATATATTTTTTCATGTATTTATTATTTTTTTCAATGTTTATTTATATTTTTTTTCGCTTAACAATTGGAATCAAAGAAATGATGTTTGGAAATGAAATAACATGTATGCTAATAATTATATTAACATGCTATGTATGCAAACATATGGGATCAAAGCTTCCGCGGTACTGAATAGATGCTGAACTGATGATAGAACCATTGTTACGTGTAATAAGATCAAAGGTCCAGACCAATTTAGAATACAAAGAACCAAAGTCACCTTCAGAACATATATATAGTCACCATCTGTACCTGTAAATATTATTCCCTTCCCACTCATGAGTAAAGACTAGGTCAGGGCAAGTCAAAGGTAACTCAAAATCACGGGTCCGCCTGAAAGTACTACCGCCTTACCCACAGACGTAGGTGTCGATAGTAATCCATTTGAACATCATCCGAGCATGGTATATGACATGACTGCGCTAATCGGACCACGTCCTATAGCCGTCATGCCCTCACTCTATTCCTAGTGTCCTAGTGAACTCTGGCCTGGGTACTGGGCCTTTTACCTCAGTAGTAACACCCACCCAATCAAGGAAATAGAGAAGCCAACACAAAAACAATATAACAACAAAGATGCAATGTAAACATATGCTCAAACATATAAAAATGAATAAACTATAAAAGAAAAATGAAAAACACCCTAAGAAAGAAAAACGGGATCTAGGATTGACTTGCGGGCTGGACCAACAATTGGTCGATCTACTTCCCCAGTGAAGTCGCCATTTTTTTATAGCGGTAAAATTAATGAAGTCGCCACCGAGTTTTTATTTATCCCGCAAAAGGGAAAGGAAAATCATCAAATAAAAACATAAAGGGGAAATCAAGGTCTTGCGACCGAGAGATTGGGTAAGGGAGTCGATTACGCGAGGGGAAGGTATTAGCACCCCACACATCCATAGTACTCTACGGGATCCAATCTCGTTGTTCTAATCAAAGGGTGTGTTCAATCTAATGCTTAAGAGTTATAAACTAATAGGGAATGCATGCAAAGAAAATATGGGAAAAAGAAGGAAATATTTACAAATTTTTGCTCGGCTGAGCCCCGTGACCGGATGCCTACGTATCCCTTTTAAGGAATCACAGCGCCGTAGTTCGACTCACATATTTTGTTTGTTTGTATTTTTTAATCAACAATATTAATCTCGCCTTCTGTCGCAACTCGACCTTTGGAGACTTATGCGTCAACACATAAGTGACTTAACATGTCCTTTTAGAAAGAATTTTGAAAGAAAAGCCCAAAGGCAAAAGAGTTTGTGTTGGTTGGTGTTTTTGCTGCAAATAACGACTAGTTAATCTCAAGAGAGAGATATTAGCCATTTCTCTACGTATTCATGAAGTAAGTCTTCGAGACTTGAACCACTCCCAGGCTTAGGACAGAGGAATAATAAGATTGAGAAGGAACTCGCTTATCATTTCCCATGCTCAACAAAGTTATGACTCTCATCAGTTATCTTTAAGTGTCTTGGAGTTTCCAAGGAAAAGACGTTTTTGTTTTAATGCAAATGCAAAAAGGGAAATAAGAAGTCTAAATGGAGACTAACCTAAATCTAACCTAAATCTAACCTAATTTTATCATAAAATGGGTGGTCCTATCTAAGTTAGCATGCCAAAGAAAGTCTAACAAAACTATCTTATAGGGGACATACAATAAGAGCGAAGTCGTGATCTCAATCCCTAAATTGAGTGACTCATCGATCAACATGAAATAAATGAAAGCGATAAAAATCCTATAGGGAGCATGCACTGAGAGAAAAGTCGTGATCTCAATTTCTAAATTGAGTGACTCATCGATCAGCAACCAAGGAAACAAACACAAGCACACACATATAACAAATGAAGTGCATAATGCATGCTACAGGTCTTTAAACAGCGACTTCGAGCGCACACTCTTTATTTCCTACTTCTCATGATATCTAGACAGCAATGAAATTAGGAAGAATAAATTGGAAGTAGTATAATACCAAACGAACACTAGTGTCCGCAAAAAATGCAACCAAAGCAAAGAAACCCAAAATACTTCGCGCGAGCTAGTATCAACAAACAAACCGTCAGAGATCGAATATTCGGAATAGGTGTCGAAGCTTTATCGATGTGAAAATAAATCACAATTGAAATCAAAACACATCAACATGTCAAACAATGGACCTACATAAGACTCAACTCAACATACAAAAGTGAATCGCAAGTCTCAAATAATTGAAAAATTAGGAATTAATTTCTAAAAAATCAAATGAGAAATCTAACAAATTTTTATTGATTTTTATAGTTATTACCCTAAAAATATAAGAGGCAATTCTAAAATCTATATTTTTTGCTGTTGTTTTATTATATGTATTTTCCTATTTTTCTTATTATCAAAAAAAGAAATTTAAACTAAAAACAAAAATCTAAAAAAATCCCAATGGTAATAGAAAGAGTCAGGGGGTGTACTTCTGCAGACAGTAGTATACTCCATAAAACAGACACTTGGGCGCTAGGCCTACCAACCCAGTCCAACCATTATTTTATTTTACCAACATCAGAATTCTTAAGAAAGAAAAATGCACATTGGAATCACATAGGAAAATCCCGGGCCTCCATTATCATAACATAGTGGCCCAGTTTGAACATAGCTACTCATGTTATTCATCTTCTTGAATTGAAACAACAGACAAAGATTAAGAGAAGAAATTAGGGCTCAACTTATGATTCTTCATATTGCTCTTTCTCCCTTCCACGCGGCGCATCCCTTACTCAATCGTCTCCGATCAAACAAAAATTTACCGCCGTATGCTTCAATTGGCTCCTCCATCATAATTCCGCTCATAATCTCTCTCACAATGGCGTCAAATCTTCAACAGATCCAAACGGCGGCAGTGCTTCAATGAAGTATGATTTTGTCGCGTCTTCAAGGTTCTTGCGCAAGCTTCGGCAGAACAAGGTTGCAAGAGGTCGAAGCCTTACCGAAGGGAGAACATATGGCGCGTCTTCTACAGTAACGACCAAAGATAGGACACTGGATAACTCTCGCTCCAGGTATGATAACAATCAGATTCTCTCTTCTTCTTTGTTAATTTCTCCTTCGCATTCTCATTTCTGAATTGGTTGTCCTTGTTGTTGCAGAATTTCGCGGCGAATGATAGAAGTCCTATGTCGATGATTGATAATGCTGAAATATTCTATACTGATACAGGGATAGATTGATGATTACAGACTACTGAAGATTTGAGATATGGTGAATGAAGGTTGAAGAGGATTCAAGAAGGAGGGTTGTGGTGATCAAGGTTCAGCGATTTCAGGGAGAAAGTAGAGAGGGTTCAAGGTGAAGCAGAGAGAGAGAGAGGGTTGAAGATGAAAATCTGAGGTCTTCCCCCCAGAATTTCATAGAATTCAGAGGTGAGTTTTTTTTAGCTTCTTTCTCTTTTCTGTTATCAAATCCTCCTCCTGTTTCCATTTTGTTGTTATATCATTTTTTTTAGAAGTTTGTTAGAGATTCAGTTAAGAAGTTAAGAAATTATGTTAGAAAAAATAGTTAGCCCCCTGTTAGTTGGTTAGCCCTTCTGTTATAGGTAGTTAAGAGTAGTTCTGTTATGGTTTTGTGAGGCTTTTAGTTAGGGAGTTTCTAGATATTAGTTTTTTTTTTTTGAGAATCGGTTAAAGGATAGTTAAACAAGCTGGAAAAATTGGTTATTGAATTAACGGTTTCTCCTTTTTTGAGTTTCAAACTCCTTAACTTAACAGTTTTTTTTCCGATTACTTCTGTTATTGAACTGTTGCTAACATAAAAACTGTTACGAAATTGGCCCCATTTTGATTATGAAATGATTTCTTCCAATAAGTTGTTTGTGAACCTAATGTAGGGATTAGTTTTACAAGGACCGACTTCGAATTTCCTTCTCTGAACTTGTTTATTGGATAAACTGCACTCTGGTTATTATTAGCAAGTCAGGATAAAGGCTTTAGGCTATTACAAAATAGTCTCCAAAGGCTTTCGGAATTTGTACTCGAATGGTTTTGTGGGTGACAAACAAATACAGTTCGAATGTATGCGTGCTTGGATCTATAGTGAACCATGTCGACTGTAAGAGCTTGAGTTCTTTATATCCTTTCACATTACATAACTATTCTTCTGAATATTGAACATGGTTTAAGTCGAATTGGCATTTACTTGAAGTAAGTTTATGAATTGAGTCACAAACTTGAATTTATTCATGCCTGTTTTGTGTCTGAGCTGTGTAGATTCTGAACATATTACAGTGTTTTGAAACAGGGTAGGGTTAATCACTTTGCATTAGAATTGGTTTGCCATGCGATGCATGGTCCGTTTATGATGTCATTTCTTTTGACTTTTACAGTGACTGCTGAGTTGGGAGCTATTTACATTAGGCTTTTCTCAAACTATTCCTACTGGCATCCAAAGGTATTCTCTCTACCGCAAGTCATGTAAAGAAAACCACCCTCGTCCTTATGTTCTTAGTAAAGAGCAAACATCAAAGTAGCGGTTGGATGTTGTCAACGAAACAAATATAACCTTCTCTGTATTGAGCTTAATTTTTTTGTAGGTGACATAAGCAAATGGACCAACAAACCAGTCAGCTGGAACAAGGTACCTCTTGTTATCAATGTCTATAATGTCACTTCTTCCGACTTTCTCCACAATCACAGGTACTCTATCAAGATGTTTGTCTCTAATGCGAAATAGATTCATCCTGCCTTTTCTCAAAAGGGTGTTGAGTCTTGAAGGAAGCTTTAGGCATGACCACATTGGAAAAGCGGGAACTCTAAGCAAAGAATTGATGATCAAAGTAAAGATGGAAATATGACCATGAATGTTGAATGGTTGAAGATTAGGATATGTTTAGTTTTGTGTAATCTGTGAAATGCAACTTTATGATTATAGTCAAATTTGTGGGAATCTCTTATTTGTGTAAGGCTTAATATCTCTTGTAATGAAAGTAATTCAAACAAGTGCAGTAACACGTATCATCACTTGCATTTTTTTTTGAAGAATCTTGAATGAATTATTACATTTATTTAAAGTTTGAATCTTTGAATAGCCTTTGAACATAACCAATGGTCCCAAGATATTCCATTCTTGCCATGCTATCCTTGAGTATTCCTTCTCGCTTTTTGCGGTGTTCTCAAGACTTTAACCCCTTGGCCTCATAAACACTCGTGAATAAATGGATAATCTTTGCAATATGGAATCCATACCATTTTGAATGGACCTTGGTCCAAGAGTCTTGCACTGATGATAAGGGATGATTAAATCTTGATTCTTAAATGATGCTTGAATGGATCTCAAAACATAACTTGAATCCAATTTTAGTTCTCAATTCAGATCCAAACCAATTTTCACGACAAGCAATAAACAATGGACACACTGTTAAAGGCCTTCGTAATTCGAGTTTTCGATGGTCCACTCGATTAGATTTTGAATTCAGATTATACTTTAAATTTGTTACCCATATGCATGAATTCTATTTCACAATAATGAACCCATTCTCTACTTCACTCTTCAAATTCAATTCAACTGGCAAATAATCAAGTTGGAGAGATAACAAGGCCTTGATTACATAGAACCCCCAAACTTCTACCATGTTGTATTACTCACTCTTTAATTAACAAAAAATCTCGATGAAAATACAATGAAGCGCTTACTTATCTGACAAGTATTATCACAAGAAGATAACCATAACTCAATCTTCTAGCCCTCTTGAGAAGAGTTTACTTGTGGTGTAAGAAAATAAGAGGAACCCTAAATGAAGTTGGTGAAATCATTAATAAGGAGACAATGATGATCCTTGTAGCCTTAAGGACAAAGCCTAGAATGACAAACCTTTGCTGAAGATCTAATACAAGCTCAAATATAACTTAGGAGAAACCTTAATTCTTGACCTTTGACAACCAATGCTAAAGAAATGGCCTTGTATCTTGAGGAACTTTGCTAGCAAAGACGTCTATGTTGCTTGAGATCCAAAGCCCTAATCTCATACCAAGAATGATGAGAGCGCAAGTTGAATCAACATGAAGAATGTAACAACCTTAGTCCACAGAGAACAACCCTAATGCCAAACTCTTCGATCATGTAACCATGTGGCCAACGCTATGTATGAGATGTACAGAGTATGATGAGGGATCTTAGGGGGGAAATGGGGTATAACAGGGACGCCGTGGTCTTGGGGTAACGTTGAGAAGAGATAAATTTGCTGGAAAACTAGCACTTCATATTTCTCCAGGAAGTGATGGATTCGGGGGCAAGGCCCTTGTACCAGTCCATAGCATTTTTCCTCAAAGTCATGGGGAATAACCTGCAATTGATGGCACCCCCAACATTGTGGAATTGGAGCATCGCCTCGAAGGCGTCGACATGGTCGTCAGGATCCTTCGAGCCATCGTAGTTGTTCAGAGGTGGATGTTTCTCCATTCCCTTAGGGATAAGAGCCTCCATAATAGCTTGGAACAGCGGACCGCTGGGTCATCTTTATCTCTCTCCAGTTCTGGGGATCGAGATGGGGAGAAACCGTAGTGGTGTCTTCTATGGAGAGGAGGACTCCTCTACCGAGTTTTCTTCTCTTCTTTCCCCTTTTCCTATTCAAGATTTGGGGAAATCCGTCCTTTGTATGGAGGGATACGGTCACGCATCTCGACGAGTTCATGTTGGGTCCTCTCTAGTCGGGGGCGTCTCCCGATACGAAGGGGAGAAGGACTACGAAAATCTACCTGTTGGTGTCTTCGTGGAAGAGATCTTGAACGGGGTTCCTATTGTCAAGGAGACGGGTTGTGCGAGTCATGCCTCATATGTATTTTCGGGGACTTGTGGGTTTCTAACATTTCAAGGCATTCACCCTACGCGAAGAGCATGTGGTTGGTCTGATTGAGCGCCACAATCAAGGGCTAGGTTGACGGATGGGCATTGGCGGGCACTGGGATTTCCTGGTACACCATGGGATGCTCCACCTATTGGTGAGGGTTATCCAGTGGATGCAGTCGAGTGGAAGAGGAAGCATTTCTTCCATCTCTTAGGTCGTGCTCATAGACGCCCATGTTATTGTTAACTAGGTCGGCGAATTGGGCGTTCTAGTCATCATTGTTTGCTTGAACGGCCATGATGATCATGAGATTGAAAGATAGGGAAGCTGTTTCCCAAAGACGTCACCATTGATCGTACCTGATCCTAAAGGATCGTCGATGGCCTACAAGCTGGAACTGGATGGCTGTTGAAGTGAAGTGGTTGGGGGGTACCTGCTGTTGCACCCCAAAATTTACCCTCTTGTTTCAGGCTTATGTACCATCATAATCATCATTTTGCATTACATTCATACATTGTGCAAGTATCAAAGTATTTTGGTTATCAAGTCTGCCTCAAGCTTTGGAAGATAGATTGTATTTACAAGTTGATCAAGGAGGGCCCTATTATCTAATCCTCTGGATATTTCAAGCCACAAGGTACCACCTATCTCAAGATATCTTATCCACCTCATTGGATCATCAGAAGATTGAGTATTGTGTTGTTTATAAGGAGAATCACTTCCTTTTGATTCATCAGTCAAAGCTAGGGTTTGAGTTTTAATCAGGAGATCTTTGGATTTTTGGGAAATTCTTGATCCCATACTTCTCTACATAGTCATGAGCATCTGTTGTACAGCAAAATTTGCCCTCTCATTTTATCAAGATTTCTCATCACAAGACTCCTTGAACTCAAAACCAGATTAGGGTTTGGCACTGCTCAAGACATCTGCTTGCACTGTTGACCTAAATTAGGGTTTGAGTTTGCACAGAGATTTTTTGACTTCCAATGCTCAAAGTGACTTTCATACTTCATGTTGGACTTATAATATTACCCATACCAAGTTTCAAGCTTTGAATAAAAATTTTGCCCATTCAATTGGACAGTTGACTTAGAAATCAATTGTATTGGGGAAAAAGTCAACTGTGGCCAATTTACAGTCAAAACTCATAATTTTTGATCCACATCAACATTATGGACTCATATGGACCATTTGATCAAGTTTGGACCACAACTCCTCAAGAAATTTGATCAGATCACCAAAAGGGCAAAATGGTCATTTTTAGGGTTTTGACTACAGAAGGGAAATTTCTGACTTTTCACCTAGCCAATGGCAAATTGGATTCAAACATGGATTCAAGGACTCAATAGCATCGTCTTGACCTATTCACAAAGTTCAAAAGATCTCAATTGCATTGGATTGACAGATGAATTTTTCAATCAACTGATCAAAATTTGACTGTACACTGAAAAGTCAAACTTTGACTTTTTGGTCAAAATCAAGTGCCAAGGGTCATTTTTCATCAAGATGTGTCAAAACATGAAACTTGTTCATCAAGAAACCCAATTTTGCAAATCAAGGTTTAAGATTGAAAAATTTCATAACTTAGAATTTTTCTAAGTTATGAAATTTTCTTATTTTTTCCCAACTTTGCCCAACATTTTCCCCATAATGCAATTGGATTCAAACAAAACTTCCAACATTAAAGTTGTAGTCCTCCACAAAATCTACAACTTTGATTCATAATTTTTTCCCAAAAGAAGCTTGGATCTCAAGTTATGATTTTTGGAACAAGGGTCCATGAAACTTTTAACTTAGTGAAATTTTGCCCTAGTTTAGGCAGGATTTTGACCTATCTTCATGGCCATTTTTCACATAGTTCCACTTTGAATCTCAAGATTAATTTCAAATATGGATTGTAGAGCATGTCACAAGTTTTATAAAAAGTCAAATAACTCTCCAAAATCATTTGTGGTTAGGGAGAATCGAAGGCTTGAAGTTGGCAAAAACTCACTTTTGATCCATGGCATTTTCTTAGTGATACAAGTTGCAAACTCTAATCAGCCTTGTTTGTACTTGATTACAGGTCCCAAAACCATTCCATACTCAATAATCAAATGCAAATCCATTGGTTTGAGGCTTTGTTCTGGTCATTAGAGGATTATACATTAGATTAATCCAAAAATAGTAAAAGGTAACATTGCCATTTTTGTCAAAATCTTGCTTTATGTCAAATAGAATCCTTGAGCCTTGAACAAGATCTTGTACAACAAACCAAATCCACAAACTTGGGGACAAGCTTATACAATGTATGCAGGGTTAGAGCTAGCATGTACAAGCATGCTCTTTGTCACTTCTCGTTTTGCTTCATAACCAAGAAACTTGTCAAATACAACACAACTGGCACATCTGTTATAACCAAGCTTAGAAAGCATTTAAAACAGATTCTTGACATTGCATTGAGCCTGAAACACGAGCCTTTGATCCATCAAACACTCTTGAACATTAAAACCCCTTCCTCTTGCAAAAACAGGGCAACTTCTGCACTTTGACTTCTATCTCACAAGTTGCTCGGTCATTTTGCCCCAAGCTTGTTCAAACACATTCCATATAACCTATCCAAGCTATCCCAACCCTTAGACACTGACTGTAACTCCATTTGCAAGCTTCACCATTTCTATTTTCAGCTTGTGCAGGTTGAGTTCTACAGGCTTGTTCAAGCACATTCAAGGCAAACTAGGCATTGGGGAAGGTCAGGGGAAGTTCAAGCAAGCTCCCAAACATCTCAGGCCTCACTGAAAAGCTCCACATTGCCATACACGATCTCAACTGAAACAGGTTTTTATCAACTTCCTATCTCTCTATTTAGGAATCATTAGACTTAGGTTTGTGAATAAAAAATGTAGTATTCATAGCCATGAAGTTGTACATATGCTCAGTTTTCATTTAAGTTAAGCGTGTTAAGAGAATTTGA